AGTCGGGGCAGGGCGGGCTGGCGTGTGTTTGAACATCTGAGCAGAGATTCAATTATACGCACTACTTCATTTATTTAGCTGTCCAGTCGCACTGATCAGACTTGGAAATTAAGAGGCATGCGGTTAGAGGGATCCTGTCAAATCACATTTAGCCCAGCTCTCCCTGCTTGGATTTTAAAATGCAGCTTTTTTACATGACCTGCAGCTACAAAACAACTTTCTGCTACTCTTCCTAAAGAACAACAACAAAAAAATTCCAGCGGAAAGGGGTGAGGGTGAAACCAGTTCCTCGGCTCTATTTCCAGCCTGAACTCTGCAGTTATAAGTCTCCAAGCGTTTTAAAACCCTCACCGTTTTAGCAGGCGGTGCGAGGGTGCTGGAGCACGAGCAGCTCGTTGCACAGCAGGGGCCTCGGGGGAGCTGGAGGAAGGAGGACGGGAGAAGGCTGTGCGGGATTGTGCAGTTATTTTTCTAGCTGAGGGCTAGCAGGATTTGCAAACCTCCTCCCCCAGTTTGGGACGGAGCTAAAAATGCCTCTCGCCACACCCTGCGCTCACACGCACCCTCACGTGCCGGCATCGCGGCGTGTGCGGGACAGATAAGGCCGTACTGGGAAGCCGCGTGTGAGTCCGTGCAGAGCAATCCTGCCACCCCATCCCTGCAGGGAGAGGACCAGGCAGCCACTGTTGATCCCATCCCAGTGTCATCCCAGCTCAGCATCCTCTGGGATGAAAGGCCTGTGGAGAGCTGCAGTGGGAGGGAAGCGTCCCCCTGCTTATTTCAGCCCAAGGGGATAAAAAAGTCCCTCAGCAGGGACTAACCACAAAGCTGGGGCTCCCCGCAGTGTGCAGGGAAGTGTCCCACCCTGTGGCTGGCTGGGAGGGGGGAACTGTCCTGGGCTTGTGTCCTGGTGGGGAAATCCAGCCCTGGCTGTGGCAGGAAGCTGCTGTCGAGCTGCCCGCACTCGCCGCGCGTCGGCAGCGCTGCCGGCAGCAAGCGGGACCTGGCCCTGCTGCAAGCCCCTCTTTCGGGGAACCCCCTCGCCATGCTCATCCCCTCGCCGTGCAGAGGTGACACTCTATGGACAGGGAATGCAGCGGGCACGTCCCAGTCTGTCCCAGCCTCATGGCAGCTGGATCGCCAGGCAGGACAGCCCTGTCCCCTGCCAGCCTGGCACGCTTGTTCCTTGTGCCCAGAGAATTTCCAGAAGGATGCGGTGACACAAGGAAGCAGCTGGAGCTGCTGATGGTGGAGCTGTGGCAGTGTGGTCACTGCCTGAGCACGGCCGGGACATGTGTCACGCGGAGGGACGTGGGTGGATAGAGGAGAGTGGAGTTTGTGCACTGGCAGCAACTGGAGCCCCTTCCTCCTGCTGACTCAGTGTCTGCTCTGCTCTGCGTTGGATGTTGAAAGCAACCGCGCTGTGCCAGGAAGTGGCTGAGCCTTGCCGAGATGCCAGGGGCTGGCCGGCGTTGCGCGAGGGAAAGGGATGCTGCTGAAATCTGTCCCCTCCACATTGTCGCTGCTGGACTCCAGCTCTGAACCAGCACCCTCCGCTCCTGCCACGGGAGCCTGGGCTGAACCTGATGCTGCTGGTGTCACTGGTCCTGCACTGGGATCGTTTCCCCGTCTCTCTTCACACCCTGGTCCCAGCAATCTATCCCTGGTGACGGAGCTGCAGCATCCCTCGGTGCCCTGAGCAGGGCTCGCCTTTCCCCCTCCAGCCCAGGAGAGGGTCCTCAGGGTCCCAGCCGTACCCCACCGCCCAGGGGAGGCCATGGGGCAGCAGCCACGGGTCCAGGCAGGTGTGCGTGCACGTCAGAAACCATGTGGCTGATAAGAAACATTGTGGATTTAGAAATGATATTTAGGCTCTTGCAGTGCCTCGTGCTCTCGCTCTGCATCCGCCGGGCTGGGAGGGAGAAAGAGGAGAGAAAAGCTCCCCCATCACCTGCCTCCAGCAGTTGGGGCTTGAGCACAAACCCCCTGCCTGGGGGCTCGGCTGTGTTTGTCTACGGGGGATTTTAGTGCTGGTTGTGACTGGGGAAGGCTCCGGAGGGGAGGGAGCAGGGCCAGTCAGTCCCGGGGTTGCTGCGTGTTATCCCTGACCCGAGCTGGAGCAGCCTCTGCTCACGGCGCTTCACCACCGTCCCCGAGGGCAGCTGGTCCCCTCGTGTCTGGCGCCCACTGATAAGGGGCCGGGGAGGGGGGGGGCATCCGGCCACTTCCCCTGTCCTAGACTGCAGTGGAGAGAACCAGCCCAGAGCCAGCGCCTGGACCAGGCAGGTCCCAGGCCGCTGGCGTGGGGACAAGGAGGTGTCCCAGAGGGTGACACCATCACCTGATCGCTCCCAGGTCCAGAAAATCAATCTGATGGCACCAAAATCAGCAGAGCTCTGCATGCTGCCAGGGCTGGGACAGGCACGGAGACGTGATGCTCCAGTCACATATCCCCTTGGGGCAGCTTGTGGAGCTCTGCCAACCCTCGGGAAGCCCCAGCATGGCCGTGAGTGGGGTGTTGCCGGGTGTCACCCCAGGGAGATGGCACCCATAGGGACCTCCATCCCCCCAGGCTCCTCTCTCCCCACCTCCATGCCCAGTGAGGGCGGCAGGAGGGGTTTTAGCTGTAAAACAGCTGCCTGCGTGTCCGAACGACTCAGATCAGAGTGTGCAGACAAGGTGGGGGGCAGGCAGTTGGCCCCAGCCCCCCTGCCCCGATCAGAGGGGGGTTCCCGGCCCTGGGGCAGTGCCGGGAATCGCTGTCTGCTTTGGTGACTCAGCTCCTGATGGAGCAGCTCTTTCTGCTGAGTCAGCAGGCACACCCCCGTGCTGTCCCGCAGAGCCCATGCGCCCAAACGGGCACCCTCTACCCCAGATCACGGCTGATGGGGACACCCCCCCAAACGTGGCTTCATCCTGCAGGGCCAGGGCTTTCCAGAGGTGCTGTGAGAGCTCGAGGCACACTGCCCTGCTCGTTTTGGGGCTCAGGGTGCCCGAGCAGCACCCAGGGACCCTTCCTTCAAGCACGCTGCCACCATCGCATCACACTTCTCCTCCCTGTGCCTCCCTCGCAGGGCAAGTGTGGCCTGGGCTCACCCTGTCCCCCCGCAGGGATGGCTGGGCTCAGGGGCTGGATGCGGGTGGGGGGCAGAGGGATGGAGGCCCCTGCCAGGCTTGTAATTACAGCCCAGTCAGGGCCCTCGCACGTGAAACTCGAGCCCCGTGGGGAGCAGGGGAAGCAGAAATGTCCGTCTGCTGGTGCAGGTGTCTGTCCTGGCCCTGCTCCATCCAGGGTGGATGTGGGGAACTGAGACCTCAAGTGCCCCGGCTCTGTCCTTGGCTCACTGTGCGTTGGGGGCTGAGCCCTGTCATGAGCTGTGGGGTGCCCGTGGGGGTTTGGGTGTCAAACCTCCCCTTTGTTTCCACCTTTCTTTCCTCAGAACATCTGAAAATGTAGCCCGCAGCACCCGGCTGCCCTGGGATTCACAGAGATGCCCAAGGCAGTGCAGCGGAGCCCTGGCTCCACTGCGGCATCGCTGAGCTGCTGCGGGGCTCTGGCTTGGGTGGAAAACATCTGCTGATTGCGGGAGAGCTGCAGGACCCCCTGTCCCCATCTCTGCTACCTCCCTGCAGGACTCTGTGTCCCCATCTCTGCCACCTCTCCCTTGCTTTCCCAGCAGGGACCCCCTATCCCTGCCCACTTCCCGTTGCCTGTGGGTAGGGATACAGCCTGTGGGGATGAGGAGCAGCATCGCTTCCCATGGGGCCGTGGCAAACGCTGTCCCGGCTCACAAAGCCCTCCCTGGTCAGCACCACGGCCCAACCACCCTGACCCCCCCCTTCCTACCTCCCCCAGGTGACAGCTATCCGCCCGCGCGCGGGTGCTGCTGACCCCGCCCAGCGGCACCGGCCGTGCCGTCGAGGACTTCCAGGCAGTGGTGCAGCCCATGTTGGCCGATGCCGACATCGCCACCACCGTCTTCATCACCGGTGAGTCTGCGAGCAGCTCCCTCACATTCTTCTCCTTCCCACTTCCCAGAATCCTGCCTGGGTGTTGCTGCAGGGACAGGCTGCTCCAAGGGCCTCGTGCCCCCTGGCATTGCCACAGCTCTGGCTGGCTTGGACAAGGCAGTGGGTGGGCTGTCACAGGCCGTGGTGGCAAAGGGTGCAAGGGGACACAGCTGCCCTCAGCAGGGGTGGCTGCCTCCCCTCCTGCACCCCTGTCTGGGACCCTCATGGGGACAGCAGGGCTGCGGTCACCATCTGGGAGGTGGCAACAGGTGGCACTTGACTGTCCCCACTTTCCCCCGCAGAGAGACCCCAGCATGCACATGAGAAGGTGCGGGATGAGGACCTGTCGCAGTGGGACACGTTGGTGGTCATGGCCGGGGACGGGCTCCTGTACGAGGTGAGGGGCACCACAGGGCATCCCCAGGCCAGGATGGGCAGAGAGCCGGGAGAAGAGGGGTGCCTGGGGCAGGAGCCAAGCTTTGAGCCACAAAAGCAGGCAGGAAATGGCAAAGGAGAGCTGGCACCCAGCTTGGAGCAAAGCAGGGCAGCCATGGCCTCGGTCCTGCCCTGGCTGGAGGCACCACGGTCTCTGCTACCCCCAGGCTGAGCAGGGGCTGCAGGGTTCCTTGCCAGGCCCTGGGTGCCACAAGCTCTCTTCGTCCCTGCAGGTGGTGAACGGGCTCATGGAGCGGCCGGACTGGGAGGACACCATGAAGAAGCCGTTGTGCATCCTGCCGGGGGGCTCCGGGAATGCCCTGGCTGCCTCCATCAACCACTACGCAGGGTGAGCTCCCACCCCGCGGAGGCACCTGCTGCCGGCACCGCAGCGGCTGGCACACAGGGCTGCACGGGCACCGAGGGGAGGATCAGGAAAGCACAAAGCTGCACGTGGCTCCAGCCCAAGGGAAGGGTAATGGGAGCAGGGATGCCCAGCACAGGGGTGCCCACCTCTCCGCAGGCTGGTGCAGCACAGCCCTGGCCGGTCCCCATCTCCCCCCACAGCCTTTCTCCTCCCCGGGCTCCGAGTCTGACACCACTTTACTCCAAAGGAGCCACCCTGGGCACAGTGGATCCCACTGCGTGGTGGGGGGCCTGGCATTGCCCTGGCTCAGCAGCCCCAGCTCAGTCCCCTCTTTCAGGAGCTGGTTTATCCTTCCTACCCCCAGCAAAACCTCTCCCAGTAGCCATCCCTGAGGGACACTGTCACCCAGCTGGGATGTGTCCTACCCGCAGCACGAGGGTGAGGGTTGCACATAGATGACAGGAGAGACCCTCGAGTCGGGTCCAGCCCAAACTCACCCTCTCCATCCCTGGCAGCAATGATCACGTCGCCAAGAAGAAGCTGCTGACGAACTGCGCCTTCATCCTGTGCAAGGGGCTGCACACACAGATGGACCTGGTCTCGCTGAGCACGGCCTCGGGCAAGCGCCTCTTCTCCTTCCTCGGCTTCGGCTGGGGCTTCATCTCGGACGTGGACATCGACAGCGAGAAGTACCGCCGGCTGGGCAACGCCCGCTTCACCCTGGGCACCCTCCAGTGCCTGGCCAAGCTGCGGGTGTACC